ATCCTGAATGCAATTCAGTGTCCAAACACATTGCAGTTCATGTTTGTGCGAAGCACTGTAAGGGGTTAGTCATCATTTCAATACTGGATGAACTTTAACTCTTTCCTTCAGCATCAAAAGTATTCAAATTAGTGAGTGATCTATGAATTTTTTTTTGTGTTAGAAACTTTTTTTTTCCCCTTACTTTCCTGGGGCATTTGGAACACTTGGAAACACCTGAAGTATGAATGCTATATTTGTTAAATATCTTTCAGGTTTATGAATGGTTTAACGCATTCTAGCACATACTAGTTGCACGTGTTTGCTGAGTCTCATATAAAATGCACATTGACGGTTAAAAAAATGAGCAGAAGCAAGAAATTGTGTGTGTGCACTAGCATTTTGTGTATCACTAAAGATTGTGGGTGCAAAGTTGATCATATGTATACAAAGCCTCTATTACCCCGACACTTCTGCAAATAGCATTGAAGTTCTGTTTTGTCAAATTTCGAAGATGTCTTGGGTTTAGATGCTGGTGACTGCGTTAAGTCTGGGTGCTGGATTTTCACAGGAGGGATTGTTTGGCTTGATTTAAATAGCCTGTGCTAGGGATGTGTTGTGCAGTCGCCACCAAGTCCAGCATCCTGTCCCAGTAGGCGCCGTTCCTTGTTTATCCCAGATCATAGTCTGTCTGATCTAGTATTTTCAGTGTGATATTATAATAATAGTACTAAAAAGAATAAAAAATTAAAATTATTTTCGTTTTTTTTTGCTTTTACAGATAAGAACATCTAAATTCTAGCATTTCTTAGCTTTTTCTTGCAGCCATAATGCAAAGGGCTTTGTTTAATTAAAAAAAAAAAAAAAAGAATAAAGTATTTTTTTTCTTTATCACATGAATCTAGGAGCTGGTGCTTTCAGAGTAAGTCTGCAGCTGTTGTCAGGCTTGTGGTAAGATCGTAAGAGCTGGCAACACTACTGAGTTTGTTTTGTTTCATCCAAAGTCCAGCTCAGAAATCTGGAGGGGATATCCCCAGGAAATAACACCTTGAGTTCCCACACTGCTTTCCTTGCCCATTTATAAAACTGGGGGATAAATCTTCCTAACACGAGGTTTTGATTAACCCACTGAGACTTTTTGTTCATCTTCTGATCTCTTCCCCCCTTCTTCTTCTCCCCTCCATTTAAAACCTGTTATCTCTGTACCGGAAAGCACGCCTGCTGGGAGGACCGGCACCGCTGAATTTCAATCCCTTGTTACTGAGCACAGTTTCTGCAGCTTTTGAAGGCAGGCAGAGCTTTTACTCATTTCTTTTTCTTGTTTTCCCTTTCTCACTTATCTTTCCTTTTCTTAAAAATATCTCGCCCGTATCTGCAGGAAGCCAGGAGCCGCACTGTGTCGGTGCAGGCTTTCCTCTCCTTCTTTCCGCTGCTCTCTAGCCCTGGGGACATCCTATCTGCTCCCCCGTGAGACAAGAAGAGATTCAGCACATGAGTACAACACGACTCCTCCTTTGCTAGGGACAAGTCTACTCAGGCGATGCTGGGAAGTTTAAAAAACACGGCCTATTGTCTTGTCTTATGTGCTGAACGGGCAGGAGGGGATGCTGCAATTTGAGCAATCTAATCAGCTCCCAAAACAGGCAGGGCATGGCCTGAGAGTATTTTGAAGGCTTATTTCCTTCTCCTCTTGTCCCGTTTGGGGCTGGCATCTTTATTTGAGCCACTTTTTTGCAGATAAAGGGCCAGCTTCTAAGTCTGTCCTTTCTTGAAGCCAGCAATTTCCTTTATGGGTTTACCTCCATGGGACAGAAGACTGCAGCAGAAGAAGCTGGGACCAGAGCTGGAAGACTTCTTCCAGGCTTTTTCAGTGAGACACAGCATGGTTGTGCCAAGGGTGGGGCTAGTGAATGCTGCCAACCTTGTTGAGCAGTCCTGGCTTTTTTAACCTAGCAAGATACTTTCTTCTGCAACAGTTGGGCTTAGAGATGATGCTGATGAAATTTTGAGTTCACTGGTATTTTTTACATATTTCGATGGGAAGGTGTTGAAAAGAGAGGATGAGAAAGAATTGACCCAGGATTCTTAAGCCTCATAAGAAGACAGATTTTGCTTGTTGCTAGCAAACTGAATTTTTGTACTGAATGGAAGCAGATTTTCAGCCTGCTTGAATGCTGGCGTTTTTATGTACATTTTTGTTATTAAAACTTCAGTAAATATTTGCATATCTGTTTTTATCTCCCAGTAGACCAGCTTGGATATCACTTCTATACAGCCACTACAAAAATCCCTAATCTGTACAAAATAAGCATCTTTTACAACCAGGGAATACAAAATAATACATGACTGCAGAGCTTTTTTTTTTTTTCCTGGAAGAGTGGTTTTATCATGTCAATAAAACCCAGGGCTTGCAGTGAGACATGCAGGAAAGACACAAATGGTTAAGCTCAATGTATGATGACAAGCAAGAAGGAGTGTCTTCTCATATGGTGTACGTGGTCTTGGAATTGATTGCTTCAACAAGAGAAATAGCAGTGTGCAAACAAGTTAACTCTTGTAAATGCCCATTTGTCCTCTCTGCTGCAGACCTTTAGTGCCAGGATGCAGCGGTGTATGAAAGGGATGATTTGAAGGAGTCCATAGATTGGAGCCATTCACTATATTGCTGCTTAATTTTGTGCAATGTAGGTGACTGCTACTAAAAATGAGAGCTTGGAGTTGTTTGTAGTTGGATGGATGTGAGAAAGGTCTTGGTTTTACAAGAGGTTTAAAGCCCTTTGTAGAGCATAACACAGATTGGCAGCTTGATTATGAAAGGAAATTGCTGTCTTTGTAAGCACAAGTGATTATTTAGTCTGTGTGAAGGTGAAGATGTCAGGTTGCAGGAGGGGTGCGTGTGCTCACGGTGTTGCAGGGGACTCTGCCTGTCATGTCACTCCAGATTCTGAAGCTTTTGAAGTCCCTGAGGGTCCTTTAAGGCTCAAGTTGTTCAGGCTTCTCTGTGGGTGCCAATTTGATGATGTCCATAAGTGTCCTTGAAGCTGATGAGAAAGTGGAGCAGACTTATCGTACTCGGTTCTTTAATCCAGCTGATGTTGTCACCATGAGTGGGTGAATATGGGTTTTGTGCTGACTGCCTCATTGTACTCTCAGAGTGGCCCTGAGTACAGTAGTTTCTCATATATGTCAGCTGAAAAGAAAAATACTCCAGACAGAAAGGTCTGTGTTTCCTTGTTAAAGGAAGGTCATTTCTTTAGTCACTTGTAATGGCTCAGTTGACTTCATTGTCTCCTTGAATTCAATCACCACCAAAAACTGGATGCTTACTTCTGTTTCTGTATGGAAATACTGATTTTGTTTAAATCAAGAGTAATTCTGATGAAGTCAATTGAGTTACATGGTGGTGAATGGTGGAAGATGTAGGTTCACTTCATCGGAATTTCTTTGCAGATTTAGCCCAAAATGAGTCACAGGAGGGGGCGGGTGGTTGTGCTGGGGCAGAGCGGAGACAGCCACGGCCTCCACCGTTGTCTGCACAGGTTTCTCTGCCCTATGATGAACCATCCAACCGTTTCCCCACCCTGCTCTGCCCGTTCCTGTTGCCAATCATGGTGTTGTTTGCTTGTTATGACTTTGCTTTCTAAATTGCGTGGCTTCCCGGAGAGGTAGCCCTGTGGTTTGCTAGGTGGGCACCTGCCCATTAGAAAGGTTTGCTACTTTTAAAGTAAGAAACCAGCTGGTAAAGATGCTGAAATCTGTATGTAATTTTACATGGCTGATGGTATACATTTGATGCGTATGTACATTCTTGAATCCTCAATTATTTGCATACTGTCACAGCTCTTCCCTTCTAGGGAAATCTGTAGCTGTGCTGCAGAGAGACATCTGGAGTTGCCTGTTGCGACAGGGGCTGGTGTCCACAACAGGGAGGAGACATGCTCTCAACTGGGGCTGGCTGTCAGTAGATGCAGCCTGATTGAAAGGAAAATGGAGAAATTTGCATTTCTCACACTCCAGAGCAGGTCAGCACAAGTCCTGGTTCCTGCTTGGCTCCACATCTCTCCCAGGGGATGCAATGCTTGGGGGGCTGCAGTGTGAGCTGCTCTGTCCCGGGACAATTAAAACAGATTTGGGTTTCTTGACTCAGTTCTGATTCAAAGTGAAATCTGTAAACCTGAAACTTTAGATGAGCACCTTGATAAGATAAATATTTCCTCACCACCTTAAAGGGGCAATGTAGCCTCTGTGCAGCTTGGTGAGACCTGAAGAATTACTGCTTTGAGTTGCAAGCCTATGCAAAATCAGGGTTTGACATTTGAAAATAGATGAGTGAATAGAAATGTCTATTGAATACATGTAACTGCTGAGTAGCTTTTTTCATTCTGATCTACAACAGCATCTTTCTTTCCTTTTGATTGGTAAAAAGAAAAATTGTGATAGTGCTGCAGGAGGACAGCTGTCTCACAACATTGAGAATCTCTTGCACAGAAGCAGTTTCACAGGACAAGCTAATTTCATTTCAGCAGTGAAAAATTTGCTATGATTTGATGTCTGTTTGGTGTTTGTGAAGTGGCATGCAGGTTTTGGTGTAGAAGTTGTAACATCTGTATCATGATAATCCTCATTCCTTCTAACTTGTTCCTCTGCAGTTCTGTCTTTCAGGTGTCTGTTGTTCTGCTACAGCTGCATTGGTGCTATTCACCTACAATAAATTTCATTTTAAAAAGGAGTTGTTGTGCCCTTTGCTGCTAGTCTGTCATAGTCTGGGGAAAAAAATCAGGTCTCTTTACCTGAGAAAGACCTTGTGAAACAAAGCCTGTGGTTGGCATTAACTCTAAATCACATTAATTTTCAAGACCAAGAAGCGTGCGTGTGTATTTGTCTGTCTGGCCCTGGAGCCGCTGCTCTGTTTTGCTCGGGCTGTTGATTAGATGACTGTCCAGAGTGAAGAACAGTGTGCGTGTCCTGCAATGCAGCATCCCTCCTCGCCTGCAGATTAACCCACAATTGTTTTATTGCAGAGAGGAAGCCAGGGAACCGGAGTCCTGGAGCACCTTGTCTCACACCGTGCACTCGGGCGACTACAGCGTGAAGCACCATCGTGGGCTCGATGTTTACATGCTGACGGCTGAAGCCAGGGAAGGGGTAGCAGCCAGCTTGGAGAGTGACATACGGCACCTTCAGATGCACATGCAGAGCCACCAGCACTTGGTAAGGAAAAGGCTGAGATGATGAAAGAGAAGTGGAGCTGGCTGCTCGCAGCCTGCCACCTGGGGAGGGCTTCCATACATAGGCACCCTTTGGGAGTGTTTTTACCTAGATATTTTCTCTGGAATATAGGATACCTGCATATTTTCTTCTCATTTGAGAGCAAGGAGGTCTGATAAAGCTGTGTCAGGCAGCAAATTTTCTCTCTCAGAAGAGAAACGGGCTTGGGGATGTTCAATGCTGGCTCTGCTTGGCTTTGTGGGTGCTCTCTGCTCCCGGGTCCTGCCCATGAGGTTGGGACCCGCTCGGATGGGCAGGAAAACCTCTCTGCAGGCACGATGTTCCCCTGGAGTGTCCGGCAGCCGTCGGGCAGGGTAAGGTAAGCTCCACAGTGAGGCTGGGTTAGTGAGGGATGAGCATGTGGGTAGGGCTCTGTTCAGATGGGAAGTTCAAGATAAGAGAGGAGACTGAGGGGAAAGTCTTTGGGGCAGGTGGTGGAGAAAACAGCCATTTCCTTAGCACCTCAGTGTAGGACTCGGAGGATGAGCCTGCTCTGGCCACACAAGGTGCATGTCCACAGTGGTCCTCTCACTGCGTTCTTCTCAGCCCCTGTGGTGGTCAGACCACAGGAGCTATTGGGCTTTGGAAGGGCTTCCTCTTGCTGCTTCAAAATCAATGCCACATGGTCTCAGTTAGGATGGGAAGGGGAAACAGCAGGACGCTTCTGTGCCACTTCTCAGAAACACTCACCCATCTCACCAGCTGGCATCACTTGTGGGTATTCCTTCCTCAGCCTATATATCTGCCGTTACTGAGGTGTGGGGTCTAAATAACAAGCTATTTTTGTTCCTTTAACTAAGGAAGAGGAGGATCATTGTCTGCAGGCAGTGGGCTGGGGGGATGTTCAGAGGTGTGGGCCACCCAGAGCCACTTTCACCCTTTCCTGGGTGCCCAAGATGTTAATTACTCCCAATATCAACAGGAACTGGTGGCATGAGTGGCAAACCCAGGCTAACCATGAAATCACTTCCCCTTTCCATCAAAAGACACCAAAGCATGGCCGGCATACACAGCTGGCTTCTTGTTTGCTTGTGCAAATGCCAGATGGGTACATTTTGCCTGACAATGAAATCAGAAAATGCTATGTTTAGACTTTTTCTTTCCAGCACTGTTTCACTTCACTTCTAATCTGATTTGAATTTGGAAAGCAGCCCTGTAATTATTTCATTTAGGTTCATTTTGGGTCAGTTAAAAGCCATTGGCTTTCTTTGGAGATGGCTCTATTTCTCAGGCTATCAGCAGAGTGACTTCACTGTGAGGATGCTGGGGCTGCTGCAGCCCCTCCTTTTCAAAAACTTGCTTGTTCCCAAGCAAGCGTCACTGTTGTCTGTGTCTGTCCATTCTGGCTGTGTTGTCTGCATGCGTCCGTCCTGGCTGGGAACCAGCAGCACCCTCTCCGTGCTCTGCTGTGGAGCAGAGCCACCAGACGGCCGGCACGCCGTTTGATCCTGTTTGTTTGCCCTTGCAAAAAAAAGCCGCAGCCTGCGGGTACCACTGCACACAGAGCCCCGTGTCCCATCCCTGATGCTACGTGATGGATGGAGATGCCATGCTGCCTGCCTCCGATGCTGACCTGTCTTGAAGGGAGCTCTGGCAGAGGTGACAGCATATATGGGAGCAGGATTATTTTAAATATGAGATTCATGGCAAGCACCAGAGTTACGTTTAGTGGTCTGTGATTCAGTGGCGGTGCTCTTCGTTTACAAGCCTCAGAGTGTGGAAAGACGAGTAAATGCAATATCCTCAATGTAGCAGTGATGATTTTAGCCACTATTTGTATATGCAATACTCAGAGTTACCCCGTGATACATCAGTTAACATATTGGCCATTTTAATATTCAGGGAGAAAAGGGGTGTTTAAGCAGACATTTTGGTATGAAATTCTGTTTCTCTGAGAACTAGAGGCTTAAACAAAATTTGTATGGACCTGTTTAAGTTAGACTTCTAGGATTCATGTATTTTCTGGAGTATTTTTACAAATAAATGCAAGAAATAACAGATTTGAAATAGTTCATTAGAGTTTTGTATTTGTGGAGAGTCACAGGCACTTAGAGAGAAAAAAGTGTGACCTCCAACAGCAAAACCCCATGCAAATCAAGGGAGCTCTGTGGGTTGTATATTGAAGGATTGAGGTCACTTGTTAATTTAACAAGTCACTTTTTCTAAGATACGAACATTGATATGCCGCAGAGAAGAGACTAAAGGTATTTTGAAACAAACAGTTCTTTTTAAGTAAAGGTTTGGTTGTATCAGACTCTAAAAGCTTGAGGGATCCTTGACAAAGCAGATGCTCTGGAAGGAAAACACATATCAGACAGCAATTGAATATGTTGCTACTGTTCCACGATAATGCATGTATTCATTTTAATAGTATGTCATAATTATCAAATTTTTATTTCCATTTAGGTAATAAATTTCAGATATTTAATTATACATGCAATTTTCAGGAATAGATTAGATGATTAATTCAGTCCTAGGAGTAGGAGAGAAGTACCAGTGTTTGGACATCTTCAGCCAATTCCCATGTCAGAAGTAGCATTTCCATCGGTACAGAGAAAAGTGAGCAATGCTGATGAGAACTGGGGAGTGCCATCAGTCAGGGATCTGAAGTTGTCCTTAAGCAGCATTTGCTCAAGCCATTTGGGACTAGGCTGGTATATATTTGCATTATTTTGTAGACTGAATTCTGCTGTTTACTGATCTTGAATTTAAGTGCACTCAAGAAATATGACTACAGCTGCTTGAAGACAATTACAAAGATTACAGTTCTTCTCAGTGATGGTAGATGGTGTAACAAGGGGGTGAAAGGACAGATTTCAGCTTCGGAGTGTTCAAGCTGGTTATTAGGAAAAAATTCTTCATGGGAGGGTGGTGTGGCATGGGAACAGATTGTCCAGAGAGGTGGTGGGTCCTCCATCATTGGAGGTTTGGAGACTTGTCAAGATAAAGTCATGGTTGACCTGATGTTGTGTTGACAATTATCCAGCTTCAGGCAGGAGGCTGGACTAGATGACCTCCAGATGTTCTTTCCAACCAACCTTTCCATCATTCTAATAATTTCAATATTATTGAACCAACATGTAAATACCCACTGTGGTATGTTTGTAACTGTTCCAGGCGATACCAGGTAGAGGTCGCAGGTAGAGGAACCAGGAGGTGCAAGGAATAGAATTAGAGTAGATACAGATCTTGTACATGGTGGAGACAGTGTAAATGTGTGACAGAGCAAATTAATTTTCTATTTTTTTTTTTTCTTGTTACAGAGTTTAAGGCAGCAGACAGAGCCTGTATTGGGAGATTCTGGAGACAGCTGTGCTGAAGGAGCAGAGCCAGATGGTCACCCAACCACCACCTCTCAGAGCCTTGAAGAAATGGCAAGAGAAGGAAGGCAGGAAAGTCCATCTGATCTTGTTCACCTGGACATTGAGCAGCTCTCAGACCAAACCCCCCAGGAGGAGAATTGCAACAGGAGGAGTTGGGGAGCTTCTAATAATGCGCCAAATGACTCACCGAGCCTGGGGGATGCAAAGAGACCAGAGTCCTTCTGTGAAAGTAAAAATACAGTGACGTTGAGTAAAACGGAAGAGGAGGGGCCTACCTCTGCTGAAGGCTCTGGGACTATATCAGATGAGAAAGGTTGCACAGTGAGCCTGTGTGCAAGCATAAACGGTGCCGTAAATCTTCCATCCTGTGGAAATACAAATGAGGAAGCTGGAATGACATCTGCTGGAGTTGTTCTGGATCAAGCTGGCTTGTGCAGTAAAGATAGTCCCCATCAGGAAGCACAAGCTGCCAAGGAGCGTGCAGCTGACAGTGCCGTTGCTGTGGTTCAAACTGCAGGCGAAGCCCCAGCTTCCTTGGAGGGTGTGGATGTGGCTATGGGCCAGACTGAATGCAGGAACTGTACAGGGACGGCTGAGAGGGCTGCGGGCCAGCAGCGGGTAGAGGATGGGATGGCTGAGGCCGGTGAAAGGAGGACTGCAAACCTAGAAGAGTGGTCGCCAGCTAAGGACGAGTCAGACAGCGCTGCTCAGCCCTTACTCGGTGGTTTTAATGGCACTGAGTGTGCAGATGGGGAGGATGCAAATGTGGGAGCGTTGCCAGTGCGTGACAGTATGAACACAGACAGTGGCGCTGGTGATGTCTCGGTTGACCTTTGCAAGACTGGTGATGACAAAGAGACTGGAGCAGACTCATGCACTGATCAGGTAAACAGTGGCTTCTTGGAAGGCCAAGGCGATGCCCATGTCATCACGAGGCGGGATGTCACTGCGAGCCCCGGGGCAGCATTGCCAGCAGTGAATGGGGTGAAGGTTCCTGGGTGTGCATCAAAACCTGGTCCTGGTTTGGAAATCCATGGCAGCGGTAAGAGTGGGGAGCAAGAAGGGCAGATGGAAGCAGGTTGCACAGATGGGAAATCCAGCTCGCCCTCACTGGAAGACAGTGTGGAAACGGATGGCCCTGATGCTAAACCTGAAAATGGTGAAGTTGGTGGATCTAATCAAAGTAGTGCAGAACCTGTGTGTTGCCAAGAGAGCAGTAAAATCACTGAACATGCAGCTGAAGCAGTGAAGAGCAGTCAAGCCTGTGAAGAGAAGCCAGCAGGAACTGATACCAGCAGCAGTGGAGATGGAGGAAGCGCTGATTCTGCAGGCGGAGGTCAGGAAGTTGCTAGCTGTCGCCCTTCTGATCAAACTGTTGTTAAAGATGAAATGGACGACGGCTTCAAACTGGACACTGCTGAAAAGAGCAAACGTGAGCCTGCATCGCTCCCTCCAGAGGATGCAAGCACATGCCTGGCAGAAAAAGAGCCTGCACAAACCGAAGTGGAGATAGCAGAAGGTGCTTCGGAGCAGGAGGGGCTGAGCGGCGAGATGAAATCACTCACTCCCCTACCCAGAGGAGAGGGACTGGCTGTGAGTCAGGAGAGAGATGCTGCAGTGGCACCTCCCGGGCAGGAGGCAGCTCTACAAGGCAATGACCCTGGTTTAGCTACGTGTGCCAAGGGTGCAGACTGTGCGGAGGATAATTTAATAGGCACACCCTCTGTAATTCATAATGAAGAATCTAAACAAAACCAGGAAGCGGTGGCGGCAGCAGGCTCGGCAGAGCTCGCCTGGCAGCACGGCGGGGAGCATGGCAGGGTAGCTGCTGGAGCTGGCTGGCCTGGGGACCGTGCAGGGGACGTGGGCTCTCTGGAGCAGGGCCTCTCACAGCAGGGTGAAGGAGCCAAAGCTGAGCCCGAGCAGGAGGCTTGTGCAAGCGGCAGCGAGCAGCTTTTGTCAGAGGAACTTCTTGCTGCTGTTGTGAAACCCTCTGCCTGCAGTCATGGGGGGCCTGTGGCAGGTGGCAGCGATGTGAATGCTGGGCTGAAAGGGACAGTCCATGCTGAGGAAGCGTGCAAGGCCGGGGCAGTGGGTGCGGGAGAAGGCACCATGCACGGACCTGCCTCAGCAGGTGAGTCACCAGGTCTGGAGAATGGCCCTTGTCTAGAGGAGGGGTTGAACCAAGAACATGATCCCTGTCAAACCCTACAACAAATCTCCCCGCTCAGCAGCACCCCTGAGTTAAAGGATGCTTCAGAAACGGGAGCCCCGAGCGATGCCGGTGAGGGTAAAGAAGCGTTAAGGCCGGTGACAATAACCCCCGTTACAGCATATTTGGAAGAGCAGGGGGACACGGAAAGCGTGCTTCCCCGGGCAGCACTTCAGCCCATTGCAGAAGAGCCCACGTGCGACAGCGACTCCAGCACCGACACCGTTTGTCTGGCCAGCGAGAGCGATGCTGGTCCCACTGCGAAAGCAGCTCAGGGAGAGACCTTGGCTGAGCTGGACGGAAAGCAGAGCCGAGCGGTACCCGAATCACCCTTCTTGCCATGTTTGTGCCGTTTACATGCAGTTGAGTCACTAGAAAATGTGGAAGTAAAGAGTTTGGCTTCGGTAGATGGTGGCTCTTCCCTGGATAAAGTTGCTAAAATGGTAAAAAGTTTTGATGCGGTGGTTTTTGCAGCAGAGACACCTTGTTCCCCTGAATTACCGGCTGTTGAAAAAGTGGGGCTTGAGCCCCAGCCTGCGGTGGAAGTAGGAGTGAGCCTTAATGGAGAAGTGGATCTAAGTTCCTCGACAAAGAGGAGGAATGTCAACCTGGCAGTGCAACAAGCTGAGCCTGTTACAGGTAGGAAAAATCATTTGGTTTCCTACTTTTCTGCTTTTTCTTTGTAGATGTGCCTCTAGAATCGTATCAGCAAAGGAAGGGAAATAAGAGCAGGAGGCCTGCCTTGCAGAGGAAGTGTAGGTGTTCGGGGTTTTTCTTCTGAGAAACAAGAAATCTGAAGTTAGATATTAAAACTTTCAGTCCAGATACATGGTGCTTGGCTGGCACTGGAGGTAAGGACAGGACAACATCTCCCGTGAATTTGTGCAGAAGAATTTCTACCATGTCAATCCTCCCTGGAGAAGGAATGAAGGGGAGGGAGCTATTTGGATTACTGTATCTTCAAGTTATATGCTTTAATGTGGGCTTGAGTGTTTATTTGCTTAGTGCTACTCCTTCCCTTCTCGCCTTTATTTTTGCTAACTTGGAGTCAGAGGGTACAACAGGGCTCTCTTGCATTTTCTTTGCTCATCTACTTGAAACAGCTGCCAGTGTCCTTCTGAACTGTGCAAAGCCACTTCCTAATTGACAGTATTAGGTCATTTAAAAAAGCCAGCGAGCCCTACCCCCCACCGCCTTTTCCGGGCTGCAAAGCTTTTTTTGTTGGGCAGAGCAGCCGGTGGTGTTTTCCAGTGCATTTAAGCAGTACTGGAACTCAGATGATGAGTTTTGCTTGCTGCCATCGGCTGGGAAGCGGGACCGGCGTTCCCCACAGGTGAGTGGTGACAGGGAAGAGCGGTGGGACTTGGGGGACAGTGCCTGTGTGACAGGAGCTAATAGAAAACATCACCAGGTAACTCCAAAAAGGGATATAAAGGGATAAATTGAATGAAAGAGAAATGGGTTTGTTGCTCCAGCCTGGAATTAAATCATAGGTGAATTTGCTACTGAAGCGTGGAGCTAGTCTGATCTTTATATTCCACCTGTTCGGGCAGCTGTTAAATGGAAGCAGCTGAACTTTTTCAGTTGCCATTTTTTTCTTTGCTATGAGAAAGTGATACAGTGTCTCTTGCTTTCCCAGCACTGAACAAACAAACAAACAAACAAAACATTTAAACAAACAAACAAAAAATTCTGCCATTGTATAAATCATGAAGTTGTAAAGGTATTTCACTGCTTTATGCTGGGAGCTGTTTCTTCAGTCTAAATGCAGAAAGGGGTGATGGCAGAGGGTTTGTTCTGATATGTGATAGCAGAATAACTGGGGGTAGGGAAAAGGATTGATTTTTAGAGGGGTGAGTGGTGGGTCCAGCAAATCCTTTTTTCATTGAGTTCAGGATTTTTAGAATGTTTATGTGCTAGGAGGTAACCAGTAAACATTAGTCAGGAGATAGTTAGTAAATAAGTAGAAAAATTTCAAAGCTGGATTAGAAAGCTGTTTTCAGAAAGAACCTATTTTAGTGCTGTGGTGGCTTGGCAGTTCAATCGGATGGGAGTGGCTGTAGATCAGTACCTGTCAGGGCTCTTTCCTTCTGGGAGCCTCCTGCTCTGCCAGCTCTGTCCACACAGTCCAGGTCTTTATCTCTGGTTGGGTTCTTGGAAACGTCACGTTGTCTAGGCGAGGTTTTAAAAGGAGACAGGACTAAACTGTCCAATAAGATAGTGACAGAAGTAGGGAAGTAATACTGAGGTATTATTCTGTGTTAAGATATGGAAAGTGGGGGGGAAAAGGTGAGCTGGTTACTGATTTAAAATAAATAAGGATTTAGGGCTAAAAGGTCTTGGAATACAGTGGTCTGACCTTTCCATAAGGAAGAATTGTTTATTTCCAATGGGATGCTGCACGAAGCAAAATTTCAGCTGGAATATCTTCTCTTGAAGAACTTTAGGATTGCTCTGAGGCAAAATGTTAAGCACACCCAAATGAAATATTAGCTTAAAGCGGAGACAAGCGACTGCTATGAATCCAAGCTCACTATTTGAAATATTTCTGAAATTCACCTCCCATAAAGCAGCATCTAGAACTCTGATACGGCAATAATTCAAGAGAACAGATTTATTATTATTGCTGTGTTCATTCTTCATGTCAATGTCTAAGCTCTGGGTAGCATGTTTTGTGTACTAGTTCAGTGGCAGCCTTCAATTATTTACCTCAATTCTTCTTTGCTGTTTCAGTGCTGAGGAGTTTCCTCTGCAGCCTGGGTTTGTACAGAGTATTTTGTAGCCATGCAGGAGTCATCAGTGCTTGGAATGATTCAGATCTTTTTTCAATAGACTACAATAATGCCTTCCCGAAGGAAGTGTAGGTCACAAGGCCATTTCTCAAAAACATATGTGGTCAGAGGACTTTATTGTCATGCTAATTTATCAGAGATGTAACCAGCTGATAATTGCTGTTGACATTACTCCAAATCATTGGGGTCTTCAGTTTTTTTTTTATTTACATTGTAAAATTGCTTCCAATTATATACCTGTTTATCTCATTGCCTCCACTTATTTTCAGCCAAGCCCCACAACAGAGACTTCAAAGGGCTAGTTGCCTTATCCAGTCAAATACCTAGTGACTGATCACAACACTGAAGGAATGAGATGAAGCTAGAAGATCCTGCTTTCATAAGGCAGCTCCTCATGCTGTTAGCTTTAGCCTCAGAACTGCATTACAGCCGAGTAATGGGTTCTGCAAGCACATTATTTGCGAGTCTGGCAGATAGATGCTACTCATTAAAAAACCAGACAGTTAGGATATAAAGTCATATCACAGTAGCCAGGCTGGGTGAGAAGTGGCATGTGTTTATGCTGACAAAACATCTCCAAGTAGATGCAGCGTCTTGGCAGAAAGCAACCCTGGCAAGGGGTTGTATGATTGATGTTTGGCATCTTAAATTAACAAATACTGTAATCACTGCTCCCTAGCTCTTCTCCTGGGAGAAATATCCCTGGTGTATCTCTTGTAGATCTCAGCATTTAAAGAAAACAGTCACTGCCACCTAGAAGAATATCACCTTATTTTTGAATTTTGCCAGTCTTCACCTCATTGCCATCAATGGCATTCTCCCTATGGAAAAGCACTTACTACAATTGCCTTGCCCTGTTAGAGCAGCAGGATGAACCGATAACAAATGTCACTAATGATACTACACATGCAATAAGGTGCTCTGTGCCCCAGAGACCTCTGTGATAGCATTATGGTGCTTTTCATTTGAGGTATGTTTCTTAATAGAGGTTTAGGAAGAAGTGTCAGAGTGTTAGAAATTGTCCCCTTGAATTTTATCCTGAGGGCACATATCTTCGTCCTCCAGTTCTTACCCAACATGGAGTATCGCTACATCAGTTGCTTCTCCCATCCTCAGCGCACCAGAGGTTTCTTCCTTGTGTGTTCTGTCTTTGGACCAAGATCTCAACCATTGCAGCACTGCTGTGACCTTGAGCACATCTCGTCACAGCCATGATCTCTGCTTTGCCAACAAATGGGACTCGTAGAAATTTGTAGCTTTACCTCTGATTTCTGAACATCTGCCCACAAACTCATCTAATGGAGACAAAATCATGCCAGTTGGACTTAATGATATTGGATTAGTTTATCAATAGAACATTGCAAAACCAAATAGTCCCAAAATCAAGGGTAGACATTCGTGCCAATGGAAGACCATTGGTGACAGTTGTCACAGCAATTTCCCCGTGAAGATGGGAGGCTCCTCTTGCTAAATTGCCTGAACGGGTAAACTCACTGCAAACATATGTTGCCCTCAAGAAAGCGCTGTCATCCATCCAGTGTTTGTTTTTAGTAGAAGTGAAAGAGGGAGAGGGATTAGAGGGGGGTTTAGCCCTAGCACAGCCACTCTCCATCTGGGTGGCTTTGGTCAAATCACTCCCCTAAAAGTATCCTGTGTGTTGTGAGAGTCATTAGTTTAGGGTTGAAAGAGTATTAGGACATTGACTTTATGCCAGGAAAAGGTATGCAGAAGGGAACCCCAGGGGGGTGATGAAAACTTTGCTGGGCACAGAAGGCAGCTGGGACATGATGTTTGTATCAGTGCGGTGGTGACACCATCATAGGAGCATGAAGAAGGGGAAAATCAGCTGGTCTTTGTAAACTCCAGCTGAAAAGGGTTTGCCTTCCTAGTCCAGGGACCTAATCGTCATCCTTAAGGCAGTGCAGGTGGGCTGGATTTTTGAAGCTTGTGATTTATTTTTTCAACACTTAAAATACCTTTTGGGAGAAGGCAAGTCTGGTTTCTTGCTTTATCTTTGGGTTATGGTAAGAAATAAAACAGCTAAAATTTTGGTTCTTTAACTAGATGAATGGGAGCCAAGAAAATACATGGGCAAATACATGCAGATGTGCTCAGCCTCACCTAGAGCTTTTCAGTTTTATCCTGCGCTTGCTGCTGTTTCATAGTTTCCGTCAGTCCCAGACGCAATAGTTGTTAAAACTAATAACAAACAAGCAGCAAAGTCAGGAATGAAACCAGATGCTGGAAGTTAAATGGACTTGTTGAAGGGGTTTTGGGGTTGGGTTTTCTTTTTTTTTCGGAGGCTGGTTTGAATAAACAGAAGAATATCAGTAGTGCTGAAAGACGTTTGTTTTTAAATTGCCTGTGTGAACCCTCTGTTTTCACAGGGAAGTTGGAAATGAAAACTGAAGACGAGGTGGATTTTCTGAGAGAGCATGATGAGAGCGCAGCTCGCGAGGAAGAGGTGAGTGCCATTTAGACATTGTTACCCTCTCTTTTTTTGTGCTTTTTAAAGAAACACCACTGCTGCTGCGGCTGGCCGCCTAACCTGATGGTTTCCTTTCTGTAGCCTTTGCAAAGCTGAACAGCATCCGTCACCGTGACGTTTTAGCCTTTTAAAAATAAGCATGGGCTTTTTTAGACTTTGAATTTTTCAACCACTGGATTAAGCCGCATTTACGTTGTCTCAGTCGGTGACAGAGAAACTGACTCAAAAGGGGTCTTCGTGGGGCAGGACTCCACCGAGATTTGTGTATCATTTGATAAAAGCGATGCCCTGTAATGTGCTTGGGGTTGGCGATGCTGCATGGGGCTGGCAGCACTTCTGAGGTCCCTGCACATGCATGGTGCTGGTGAGTTTCTCTATCCCCTCTCACGCTCCGGGGAGATTTTGGCAGAGGGGACCGTGGCTGTGGTTGGTGTTGGTGCATGCACAGACTCTGAGGTCTGAAGGCATCGCTGGCTGGGAGTGTTAGTGCCCTTGCTGGGAGAAAAATTAATAATAGGAAGATATACACAGATCAAATGTGGGGGGAAACTCTGTATTCCTCATGTTGGTGAAACAATATAAAAAGGTCATGTCAGGGATCAGAAATCAGTTGGTATTATTTTCTTCTACTTGTGCTTTGCTATATTTAAAGACTGTCTATGATAAAAAAACCCACATGAATATTGGGCTTGACAGGAATGTAATTTTGGTTTAAAGCACCCCGAATACATATTCTACTTTATCAAGAACTGGGTTTTTTGGTCTTACCTTTCCTAGCTGGATTTTCATTTGCTCCTGTATTTTATACATAGTTTCTTTTTCCTGGAAAAGAAAGTGTTTTGTAAATGCTAAAGTTCTTGCAGCCTGTTGCCATTGAACAGCTGCATCTGTGTGTTAGTGTACCATTATGAAGCTGTTAAAAGAGAAAATATTGCAGGGATGAGTTAACATTTCAGGGTGGAGCACCAAAAAACTTTGCTCATCCCACAGTAAAGCTCTTTAGGCGGCAGAACAGTCTTGCCAAAGCTTGTAATAAAATCAGGTTTATTTTGTTTTTAACAAGTTAAGGCTTAACTTCTGTAGCTGTTTGCTCAGTGAGTTAGTCAGGGACTAGAGCGAATAACTTTCCAAGCTAAAATTTGTGCTGTCTGATAAGCAAGTCTTTTGTTACTGAAATGTGTGAGCGTAAAGATACTGATGATTTTTTTTTTTTTTTACCTACCCTGAATTAAAGGTAGTTTTCATTACTAGTATTTAGGTATCTGGTAGTAAAGTAAGGTAACTTTAGAAAATGCAAATTAGGGTACTGCCTTTTCCTTTCAAATAGGAGAAAAAAGAAAAGAGACATAATGAATTTGGCTTCCATTTTTCACGTTTTATAGGCAGTTTGATTTTTTGTGTGTGTGCTTTCCTCTCTTCTTCCTCTCCCTCCCACCCAGTCAAACACTTCTTTAGAAATCTGGCTTTTCTGGTGCAGGAATGGGAGTGCCAGGGGAATGGAAAGTTTGCTGCAGGACTGACAGGGTTTCCTGTTGCTAAGTTCAACAGAAACAAAATAACAACTGCACTATATTAAGGTCATTTAAAAAAAAAAAAAAAAAATCAGTGGAAGCCATAAATAGAGCTTAATTCACACGTGTAGGTTGGGTAGGGAGCTGGCCAGTGAAAGCCATTGCGAAGTGTCCATCTCCTGCCACGTCCTGTCTCTGCTTTATTTAGTGCTCACTTTTTTGTAGCCAGAAGTCTTTCAGGTGCTCATTGCCTTCTCATTACAGAGCCATTTTGTGGTTAGTAAAAGTGGTTTCCTTAACTTGTGGCAAACAGAAATGTTGTTAGGAGCTGCAGGTATTTAGCAGTCTCACCGGTGCTGTCAGCAACTTTGGACCTTGGGAACTGCATTAACTCCTGTTTTATGGGTGAGAATTTTGCACAATGTTATTTATAAATACACAATGTGGAAAGATGTTTATATGCACAGACTATTAAAATTAAAATACGTGTTTTGGAGCCTAAAAAGTGCAGCTTCCTTTATAGTGCAATCAGGCTGAATGACAGTAAACTTGAGCACACTGGAAAGAAAAGGGGGAAAATCCCTTGTTTTGAACGTTGAGAATTAGCTGGGTTTGTGATGCCAGCATTACATGTATAAGACTAAACATGCTTTCCCCTGTGAATGTTTTAGAAGACTTTGCCTGAGAAAGGCTCTTGTGCATGCCATGGAAAAGCTGCAGCTGAAAAATGTTTAGGAAAATAATGCTTTCTAGGGTTATAAGCACGAAAAAGAAAATAATGGAAAAAAATTTTTTTTCAATTAGAATTGATTTTTAAAGTGTCTGTTTCTTAAATCACCAGAATGTTTTCTCAGAGGTTGTAGTTGTTCAGCTATAGAAATTCTGTAACCAGAATTTCCCAAGCTCTTTTCATGTTGAGTGGTGGGTACTCAACCTGCTTGAGACTCCTGTTGTCCTCATTTTCCTGCTTTGTTTGGGGACCTTGAGTACAGCTGGGGCAGTAACGTGATGTGATCTATTGAAATTAAACTTTTGAACTTTTTTTAAATCAAACAACTTTAGATTCTTAACTCTGATGAGAAATCTGGTTTGTCTTCTGCATACTATGATCTTAAAATAAGTTAGAAATGGTGCCTGGTGGCTCTAGAATTATGAAAGTAAAGTGACAGTTTGAAATTAACTTTACCCTGATATACTTCTCTTCTTGTGTTGATCCCAGAAATCAGTTATGATTTATTAGTTGCTGAATCTTTGTGGCAAGATAGATAAGGCTGAACTGCTAGGTTCAACTGATGGCTTCAGGTGTCTAAGCCTGTGACTGACAAATTGTAGCTGCTTGGCCCCAGAAACAGAGTTCACTAGGAAATAGCCTTCTCATATTTATTAATTTCATTAGTTAGTTCCTGTTGAATTTAATGCATCCTACCTTTGCCACATGAATTAGTTCTTAATTAATGTCTATATTTTCAGATGTTACAGCTTACCAGATAAATGTGGTATTTGTAAATATCTTCACAGAGAATGAAACTTGAAAAAGATTTGCACTTTGATCTCTCCACTGATCCAAGTAGTGCAGTAATGTGTGATATATAAGCAAGGTCACTTTCTGTGAGGAAATTTGCAATATTTTCAGTCATGATTTAGAAGATGGAAGTATGTTTATAACACTCTGGGATGACATCAGGTTGGGAGGGGTTGCAAACACTTGTAAGAACAGGGTCAGGGTTCAGAGTGACCTTAAGAAATTGGAGAGTGCACTCGGATAAGAAAGAAAAGCAGCCATAGAGTGCTTTGTTTGCAAAGAAGAAATCCAAATGCATGTTTACTAAGGTTTAAGATGGAGAGGGATGGGTAGAAAAAGACTGAGGATTTTTAGTGGAGCATAAATGAATCATCAGCGAGAGACTATTGCAAAAGAGACAAATCTGGATTTGAGTTATGTTGAAGGAGTGTCCTCCGTAAAGTGTGGGAGGTAACTTACTTGTGCATGGCACTGCGGAAGCATCACCAGTGTCATCGAATCTGCTTTTGGGTGCCGTGCTCCAAGGAGGACACGGGCATGCTGGAAAGCATCCAGAAGGAAACAAGGAGAAGAGATTAAGAAATGCGAGAAGAGGTTGAAAGAATTCAGTTTATTCAGTGCAACAAAAAGAAAATTGTTGTGCAATCTAACGGTCTGCCAACATGTAATAGTGGTTATTAAAGTCCCAGATTTCCATGGCAGCTTAATTTACTGATTTGCTAATTTGCCAGGATGATTTAGGCTGGATGTTGAGAAAACATCCTGTTATCATCATGAAACTGTTGCAAGACCACCTAGGGGGAGGCTAGGAAACCTCCTTCCGTGGGAGTTGTTACAGATAAGATAGATGATGCTTTGTTGGGACAGAGCCCCAGGTCTATTGTTGCCCATTGCTTTTGGTTTGTAGGCCCCCAGATTTGTGGTTCGGTGAAAAGGGAGAAGAGGGAGCAGCTTGGCTGGAGTCTGTCAGGGTGTGCAGAGGAAGGGGACAGGGATGGCAGGAGTGTGGGAGATGGAGGTGGGAAGAGGGAGTGGGCTCGACTGGGTGGAAGAGGGCTTGTGGGAGAGAGGAGAGACCCACACAGCACTGAGGTGGGTGTTGGAATGGACAGGAGGTGTGAAGGATCCAGAGATTTTTCCTCCACACACCACACCCCCCCCGCTGTAGTCTTCCATGATTCTCTTCTAGTGTCAACAGATAAATGGAGAAAATTATGGCCAAGGTGTACAGTGTCACCCCCCTCTAGCGGCTGGTCCTTAGGAGGAGAGCCTGGTGTCGGTGCTGGTTGTTGATCAAGGCAGGTAGTAGAGAGATGCTTCATGGCTCAAAATTGCTGAACCTTGCTGGTGACCCGAGGAAAGGGGTCAATACAGTTCTCCAGGCTACCAGTTTATTTTCTTAGGAAATAACTTCTGTAACAAACCGCTCGCCTTGAGGACCTGCCAAAATTCAGCTTGTCTGTGCACACCAAAGTCTGTTTTCTCTATCTGTGTATGTGTACATATGTACATACTATGGGATGGTGATTGCAAATCCCTGTTTTCCAAAGGGCCTGCAGAACAGCATGGGAAGCTTCTCAACAGCATGGGCAATTTCAGAGCGAGTGGCTAAGTGTTAGAAATAAATCAGAGCGGGGTCCAGTGGTAGAAAGTACAGCCTTAACAGTGGGCTGTGTCTTCACCCTACCTCTTCAAAATCAATTGTATAACTCTCTCTTTGTGAATGTTGTCCTGTAACTAGAGTAAACATGGAAAAACCCAACCAAAAAGGAGCCTGCCTTAAGCCTGGCATTAGTGCTAAAGGGTGACACAGACATACCCATCAGGTCAAGGCTTTGGGCTCGTCATCTGTGAGGCCGTTTCTCACACCCACCAGCATCCTGTGTCTGCCCCGGATGCTCAAAGCAGAGGCTTGAGAGATCTAGGAGGAAATTGTGTCAGAC